AGGGCTGAGCACCCGCGGGGTTGTGACACGGGAGGCAGGGCACAGCTCACCCACCCCCCTGTCCCCTGCCATGGCCACGAGCCACCTGTGCCCATGGGGATGCATGGGGGACCCCACTCCCAACCCCATCACACCCATCTCTACCCCAAATCCAGATCCCAAAAACAACCCCAAAGACACTGCAGGGCACAAGCCTGACTTGAGGGGGGACAAACCCAGGCCTGGGGACAAGTGGGGTGACCCACAAGGTACCCAGCTAAGCCTGGGGCTGCTGGGCACCCACAGGAGCCTGGCAGGGCTGGGATGGGGGTGTCCATCCCACTGTGAAGAGCCTCATTTTCCTCCTCATCCTCCTCCAGCCCTGCCCAGGGCTCCATGCCAGACTGATATATATATTTTATGATAACTATAGAGATGCACTTCAAACCTGACAAAGGACTTTGACAGTTTTAAGCATCTCTTTGATTAATACATGACCTTTTAATGCTTCGGATTAAATTAATAAATCTTTTACATTCTAACCCATTCCGCTTGCAATGTCATGTTTTTTGCACGACCTCTCTCTCTTCCCTGCCCCGTCCCTCTGTCCCACTCCCCTCATCCCTGCACAGGTACAGTGATCCACAGCCTTGCAATATTCATGGGGCTCAGAGCCCTGCAAGGCGAGAAGGGAGGGATCCTCCTCAGTGAGGTTTTTTTTTTTTTTCTTTGAACCATCCCTAAAAATAGCAAGAAAATTCAAAGCTGACATTCAGGGCGAGGGGACGAGGAAGCCTGCAAAGTTGCTCACTCAGCCACCAGCAATTGCAGCGATCCTGTCTGCGTGTGCAGATTCCTCTGCTGACCGGGCTGGAGCCCAGGCCTCCTCTCTGCTCCGCTCCCAGGAGCCATGCAGTCCATGCCCCATCCTTATCCGGGGTGTGCAGAGTCCAGCCAGTCCCAAATCCAGTCCCAAATCCAGCCCTGCTGATCCCGCTGGGGCGCGTGGAGGGGACGGAGCTGACGCCTTTCCAGCTGCAGCAGGTCCCTGCTGGAAGGCCACTCTCAGCCTGACCCCAGCTCACCAGTTCCTCCCGTTTCAGCAGTGAAACTGGGGTGCCCAGGATGCATCCAGAGCATGGATTCCCCCCTGGCTGCCTGTTGATCCAAAACCACACATCCAAGCCCAAGCTGCCCCACGCAGGCAGAGGGCTGCTGTGGAGCCAGGTGCCGTGTCTCTCCCTGCACCCATGTGTTATTCCATCGATGACTCACGTGTTATTAGCAGCCAGGCAATATTCCCAATTCCCTGGAGTTAACCCTTCACTCGTCACTCACAAAAACACGATGTCATAACAAACATCACCGGTATTATCTGCTTTAATTATATTGTGTCTACCCGGCTCCGGGAGCATTAACAGCGAGGGAGACTTGATGCCGGGGGAATGCTCCATGGAGCCATGGGGAGGGAGGTTATGGGGTGATCAAGGAGCTGGGGGAGCAGCTCCCTGCTCTGCCACCGTGTCCTGAGCGGTCTTGGTCACCACCTTCCCTCCTGGCATTCCCTCTGGGACATGGCCAAGAGGGGAAGCAGCACTGCATCCCAAATAAATTGGAGGAGCAGGGTGTTTAGCTAACGGCAGAGATGTTTCCAGGCCTCAGATAGAGCTTTAGTTCAAAAAAAAAAAAAAAAAAAAAAGAGTTAAAAGTGTGGGGGGCAAAGGAAAAAAGGAGGTGCTTGGCTCCGTGGGGATACCTGGCTCCGTAGGGGTTTGGGAGGGCTCAGGGGTGCTGAGTTGGAGAGGGTGATGAG